TGTAAATTTCCTTTTGAACACTGTTATGCTATAAAAAATAATCTGCTACGCTTACGAATTACGTGATCAATTTAGTAGATAACAATATCTTTTTTCTCTATTTGTAATATTCTTCAGTCTCATATTGTCAATGTGTGAAAGGACCAATGAAACTTTTTAATTTATGAGTATAAATAGAGAATGAAGGTATTTTAACAAGTCTGTACACGCAATTTTAACTACATTACGTATACAAACTTCATAATTTGAAATATCACTTGCCTGAATGTTGGGATAGGGTACCCTGCAGAGCCTTGACTCGCGTAAAAGTGCTTCTTGGTTACTACAATATCACTTATCAGACAAGAGTAGGGAAGCGTCAGAAAATTTCGATTGCTTATTTCCAATTTGGTGTCAAATCCTCGTGAACCCGCCTTCTCCCAACATGCGCAGAGCCCGTGGGGCGGGTGCCACCGAAGTTTCCTAGCGCACAAACGACCAGCGGCTTCCAGTTCAGCGAGAACACCAGACTCGCTATGTTATGTCCTGCACAGGCTTTCCCGTCACCTACCTACCGGTAAGATGTCCGTCTGAATTAACAAAGTTTTGCCTCCTTTCTCAGTAAGAGAAAGTCGATAGGCCACTTTGATAGCTATATCTCAAGTGGGACTAATGTTTATTGCTTTAATTTATTTAAACGTCCTGCTCCAGACTCCTTGTGCCTTCTGGTATTTTTGGCCAAACTCTATGAATTTATATAATAACATTTCTAGAACCGGTTGGCCGAGTACCTCCAAAATTTGCAACAGTATTGACAGGAATAAAATTTGAAGTTAAAAACAATGAGTCTTACGCGTTGCAGTGTCCCGCTCAAGCGTTCCCGACACCGCTATTCAGGTAAACTTAACAGAATTTTTGTTTTCTGTCCTCTATAAAGCCTGTCAGTCGCGTATTATCACAATTAAGTTCCACCTAGATGGATCAAGAGGAACAATAAATTTTACTACAATGTCCAGCATTCCTACTCCCATTGTTTAGATAAATATTTACTTGTGGGTTTATGATGTGTTTTTAGATTTAGACTGCTCGTTATCTCTAATTGTCTATTAATTACGTTGTAAAAAAATTTTGCCTTTGCTCCAGAACCTATGGGAAAAGTTTCTCCAAAATTTCCAAGTTTAGAAAAAAGTCGGCTTTTTAATTTTAACACCAATGAAACCATTTCGGTCTTATGCCCTGCTCAAGCGTTCCCTTGCCCAATGTTTAGGTAAGTAATATAATATCGCCTAAATTCGTACTCCAAAGTTGAAGCCGACGAAAAACTCATCTATGTATTACTTCACTTCTTCAGAGCCCGTGGGAAGAGTATCCCCAAAGTTCCCGACTGGGGATATTAGTAGAACGTTTATAGCTAGTACAGAAGACAACGTTCCATTGCTTTGTCCAGCGCAAGGGTTCCCTGCTCCACTATTTAGGTAATTTTAATAAACACTACTATGTAATTATTCTTGTAACAGAGCCCATGGGTAAAGTGTCACCAAAATTTCCATCGATGGAAACCGGACGAAGTTTTACATTTTCGTCAAACTCGTGTGTCACATTGCTCTGTCCGGCTCAAGCCTTTCCGACGCCATTGTTCAGGTATTTTCCTTATTTTTTATTATTGTTTCTTTAGAGCCTGTGGGCCGCGTCTCACCAAAGTTCCCCTCAATGGATAGTTCCAGAAGTTTCAGCGCTATCCTTAACAACAGCTTGACAATATTATGTCCAGCGCAGGCTTTCCCCATCCCAATATTCAGGTAAATCCTTTTCACTCAGGATCTTAATTAGGTACACGTAATTTCATTTTTAATAGAACCGGTCGGTCGTGTGTCACCTAAATTTACTTCTGGGGATAAAAGTCGTGCATTTGATGCTATGGGCGGCGATAGCATCCCACTCTTGTGTCCCGCACAAGCTTTTCCTGCTCCAACGTTCAGGTACATGAATACCACTCTACATTAGTATAATTTTTTTAGAACCTATGGGTAGTGCAGCTCCAAAAGTAGCAATGAAAATGATTGATATTACCGAAGCGTCATCAAATGACACAGTCACACTACTTTGTCCAGCACAGGCTTTTCCTGTTCCGATGTTCAGGTAATAAAGATAACTTAGTTATAATAGCCGTTCAGGGTTGTTTATTTGTGTTCAGAACCTGTTGGAAGAGTTCCTCCGAAGTTTCCTACTATGGATAATGTTAGAGGATTCAGTGCATATGTCCATGATAGCCTAACACTGTTGTGTCCTGCGCAAGCATTTCCAGTACCGCTATTCAGGTAATTGATGTTTCTTATATTTCTTATAGAGCCAATTAACAGCGCCTCGCCGAAAGTTCCAAGTAAAACAATTGAGTTTGTGGATTTTTCGATGGATTCAAGTGTTACGCTGCTTTGTCTGGCGCAAGCTTTTCCTGTTCCACTGTTTAGGTGAGTTTCAAACTCTAAATCATACAACATGATATTTGTTTTAGAACCGGTCGGTTTGAAGGCCCCTACATTATCTACAGATTTTAAAATGGCGTGGTATATTAAGGACGTGAAACAGGGCTTCGCATTACTTTGTCCAGCGCAGGGATACCCAGCTCCTTTATTCAGGTACTATAGATGAACTGCCGTAAGCTTGGGCCTCCTGATAGTAAGCGGGACGCGGAGCAGGTGATACGTTCGGTTAAGAGTGATACGATATAAATAGCTCGATATTTTAATATTAATGCTACCTACAATATTGTCTTTGGATGAAAACGGTATTTTGTTTATTTACTTACGTCTCTCTTAGTTTATTTAAAGTATATTTTCACGTTGTTACTACAATTAATAATGAATTTTAATACATAATATTAATAAAAATAATATGCTGTGTGTCGTTTATTATATATAGTAACTAGTATAGTTAGTTAATATTGAAATATAAAAAAATAAATTATCCCCATGACAATTATATGGGACATATAATTATATGGGCAATTTTACGTGCATTTAGCACGTAAAATGGCCGATGTTTTATAATATTTTTTTATTAATAAACTGTATTCCTCGAAAGCGCTATATAGCGCAAGACGAAGAATAAAATTTCGATCCACGTCCCATCAATATTATTCCTGAGCTTTGTATAAACAATTTATGGTTATAATTAGTTTAAAAACTTTAAATTATAAGCACAAGATTAAAATATCTTAACCATGTTATCGACAAACCTTAATAATTGTCTTTTATAACAAAATTTTTGCCTGTCTGTTTATTGTGAGTTACGCAATATCGGTAGATTCATATTTCACAATAATGTCCTGTGTGTTGCGCGCATTCTATCATATAATTAGATCATTGCCAATTTCACGTCAGTTACTACCAGCGGACAGCGACCAACTAGCTCATTGTCCGAAGTGCGTCCTCGCCCAGCGTACTACAAAACACCAGGAGTGCCAAGTATACGGCAGTTTACCTATAAATCGATTTTGGTCGTTTTTAGTAGCAGTAGAGTTTCTTGTGAAAGAGTTCGCATAGGGACGTACTGTCATATTACCTATTTCTGCCGCCAAGCAATAATATGAGCATTACTGGTGAAATTACAGGCAGGACTTGTCAATTTATGTCTCAGGGTGAGGGGCGTAGTGTCAGTGCCCCTAAGATCTTTGCGATGTAAAGCTCTGAGTGGCACTCCAACTGTTATGGACAGGCGCGTTACTCACCTTACCACGAGACATACGACTTGTTCTTCCCGTCACTTGGTATTATAAAAAAAGAAACAATTGGCTCCAAAAGTACGTCTTTTTTAAGTGATTCCAAGCTACCATGTTCTGAAATTCCGCATGATTTCGCATTAATATGTCCATTGCAAGGGTTTCCCGTCCCACTCTTTAGGAAAGAAGTTCTAACAGTTACTTGTTTTTTTCAATATTTCAGAACCAATCAGTTCTAAATCACCTGCCTTTGCTTCCGAAGATAAGTTATCATTTTTCAAATTGAGGCCAGTGGGACACAGTTTAGCTTTACTTTGTCGGGCGCAGGGTTATCCGGTTCCAAATTACAGGTACAAAGTTAGTTATTAAAAGCATATTATTCCCTTCTAGAGCCTATTGGATCGAAAGCTCCATCGTTCTCTACTGACAATAAATTTTCTTGGTACGTGAGAAAAATAGGCCACGATTTAGACATTTTGTGTCCAGCTCAAGGCTACCCAGTACCATTATTCAGGTGAATAAAATTATTTTATTTTAATTGTAGAACCTGTTGGCTCAAAATCCCCTACATTCTCAAATGATGTACAATTCTCTGGGATCACTCGTAATTCCGGTCAAGATTTTGCTATTTTATGTCAGGCTCAAGCATTTCCTGTTCCACTGTTCAGGTAAGAAGAGATAAATTATATACCCGCGACACAGGGTTTCCCTAATGCGGGGCTATGTTGAGTGTGAGAGTTATTGTGAACGTTATTTTGACGTACTCGGATTCATCGTGATTCTCACAGAACCAATTTGGTTCAAGGTGCCAACATTTTCTATGGAATTGGAATATAAAAAAACTCTAACGAAAGTGGCAAGTTAAACTATTGCACTTTTGTGCCAAGCTCAAGCTCGCCCGATTCCTAACTTCAAGTGAGTGTTCTAAATAATTTTATATTATAATGTTCCGGCTTAGAACCAGTAACAGCGAGAGCCCCTGCGTTTGCGTCTGCGGCATCTTCTTACAGTTCTGATATTCAGGAAAAATCTGAAGGCTCTTTACTTTGTCACGCTCAGGGTTACCCTCAACCAACATTCAGGTAGGTTGATATATATATATATATTATATCAAACAACTTTTAGAACCTGTCGGGGCAAAAGCACCAACTTTTTCTACGGAATCAAAAAGCAGCACATTTATCAAAGAAATCGGACATAGTTTTGCTCTACTTTGTCAAGCTCAGGCATCTCCTATGCCGACATTTAGGTAAGTTTATCGTACTGTCATTGCATTTCTAATCAATGTTGGCTTCTGAGTTTCACTGTCAGTTCTAAGTTATCTTAGGTCGAGCCGAAAGGGTACCCTCAAAAAATATTTTTGGTTCACTTATTTTTCAATTTTGTTTCTCTACACTTCTTATAGAACCTGTCGGAGCAAAAGCACCATCCTTCTCTACCGATTCTAAAGGGAGCATATTCGTTAGAGAGGTTGGACATAGTTTTGCTTTGCTTTGTCAAGCTCAAGCATCCCCTAAGCCTGTGTTTAGGTAAGTTTATGTTAAGTTAATGTTTTTCATGTACAGAGCCCGTGGGTGGGTAAACCACCAACCTTCTCTACTGATTTCACTTTGTCAGTGGTAACAAGATATAGGGGTCAAAGTTTTGCAATGATGTGTTAAGCTCAGGTATTTCCCGTATCGATATTCAGGCAAGTTACGGTTTGTTTAAATGTTTCTAAAAAATAAATCTTCGTTTTCTATCTTTCATTTGTTCGATGTAGAGCCCATTGGATCCAAACCTCCATCGTTTTCGACTGAAGGTACTTCTATCAAAAGAGAAGCAGGTCGAAACTTTGCTCTTCTTTGTCAAGCTCAAGCTTTTCCTGTACCATTATTCATGCAAGTTTTATATATTTATGAACATACTCGTGCTTCTCCCGTTAGGTTCGTCTAAACATATAGTAATTTTTTTCAACAATGTTGTGTTTCTTGTTTCGATTACATTTGAACTATGCTTTGTGCAGAACCCGTGGGATCCAAAGCCCCATCATTTTCGACTGAGTCTGCTCTTTCATCCATTAAAAGACATGAGGATCAAAGCTTTGCTCTTCTATGCCAAGCTCAGGCATATCCTGTACCAGTATTCAGGCAAGTTTTGACGAATATAATTTTCAAAGTTATTGTAATCGTAATGTTCTAGAGCCAGTTGGTGCTAAATCTCCAACATTTTCATCTGAATCAATGGGAAGTATATTCAGGAAACGTATTGGACAAAGTTTCGCGTTATTATGTCAAGCTCAAAGTTACCCGGCTCCGAAGTACAGGCAAGTTTTTTTTTTAAATACAAACGATAGAATTAATAGATAATCTCTTCCATTTTGATATCGCAGAACCAGTCGGCTCCAAAGCGCCCACATTCTCGACAGATGCTAATAGTATTTCTTTTACGCGTAACGTCAACCAAAGTTTTGGTCTGTTATGTCAAGCCCAGGCCTATCCAGCGCCCTTATTCAGGCAAGTTTTTTATGATACATCAATCATTTCCGTTGCTATTAGACAGGATACAAGCAATATCTTTAACTGATGTACTCCAGAACCAGTCACGAGTTCTAACCAAGCATAACTACTACGCCAAAGGTACATTACGCTCAACAAACCTCATTGGCACTATTATGTCCGGCTCAAGGATATTCTGTACCAAAATCAAGGTGCGTTGACAATATCTCGTATTACAGAACCAACAAATAAGATTGCTCCACGAAGCGACAAAAGCAGAAAATTTGAAGGGGGTGAAATATTTTTAGTTTCTCAAGCACAGTCAGTTTACCTTACTTGTGAAGTAGCGGGTTATCCAGCTCCGGTCTTCAGGTAGGTCGACTTATAACGCAAATCAACATATTATATTCGTAACCAATAGAATATAATTTCTAGGTGGAATTTTTATTCTTAAGTTCCAAATGATGTTTGTATTTATTTTAAACTAAGAACCGTCTAAATAATCCTTACAGAACCAACCAATAAAATTGCACCTAGGAAAGATTCTACTAAAAACTTTGAAGGTTGGGAAGTAGTCTTCGTACTTCAGAATGATACAGCATACCTGACATGTCAAGTAGCAGCTTTCCCCGCACCTTTGTTTAGGTGAGTGAAGCATGGCTTGTGTCAGCCAGTTTCTATTCCAGAACCGTCCGGTAGAACTGCACCATGGGCTGAATCGACAAATAGGTCAGGGAGACCTCGCATTGCTTTGCGAGGTCCAAGCTTATCGTACTCCTTTGGTGAGGTACAATCATATTTAGAGCACGCCGGCCGGCGGCATTTCACGCATTCATCTATCACGTAGTCATTACTAAACTACTCCAATGTACTGATGAGCGTTGTTATTGCAGTCTGTTGCGACGGGGGCCCCGCCCGCGCGTGATATGAAGGCGTGATGAAACGCGGCCGGCCGCGCTCTTATATGGTTCCCAGCCAAAGTAACGATTGAGCTGCACAGACACCTTCTGGTAAGTGTCAGGGTGTTCTTGTTATCATTCAGGCGCTTTAATCTTTACTTTGTGCTTTTCGTGGGTCAAGACCGCTTAATATGTCCGTTATTATAGGAAAATATCATTTAAAGACTGTCGGAACGTTGTGTACTTCCTATAATTTTGTCCTTATTGCTAGCTTTGGAATTTGTTTTGTTAATCACTAGGGTTGGAATAATTTTGTTCGTCAAGGATTTGGGTCAAGAGGAAGCTCCTCTTAACAATTTTCCCACTTATCGAAGTTTTGATTTGAGTACTTTCTTCTTAAAGAGCCGACTAATAGCGTGTCTCCAAAGCTGTCTAGTGGTCGTTTACAAGAAACTGTTGTACAATTTGGAGAAATGGGGACGATTCTTTGTTTGAGTCAAGCCTTTCCAGTCCCTCTATTCAGGTGGGTGGCTGTAAGGAATATACCCTTATTAAATACCGGGATACCATATTAAATTTAAAACGAATAAAACTTCCGACATCCTTAACACTGCAATATGCAGGAGTCTGATTTCAAATCCGTTGAACTTTTTCTCTATTGTTACAGATGGTACAAGTTTATTGAAGGCAGCAGTAGAAAGCAACCAGTTACACTCGATGACAGAGTAAAGCAGGTTTCAGGAACACTCATAATCAAAGAGGCTAAAGTGGAAGACTCTGGGAAATATTTGTGCGTAGTCAACAATTCTGTTGGTGGTAAGTATTACAAATGAAAGTATTATACAGAATAAAAAATAACGCATAGATTAAACCAACATTTTCAACATTGCAGGTGAATCGGTTGAAACCGTGCTAACAGTAACAGCTCCGCTAAAAGCAACAGTAGAACCGGCGACGCAAACGGTGGACTTCGGAAGACCAGCCGTATTCACATGTCGATATGAAGGAAATCCTGTAAAGACTATAACTTGGTTAAAAGATGGCAAGGACATGAAACACCACGACCCGATTTTAAGGTAAATTAAATTTTCGTTTCATTTTATGGTGTACAAACCAGCAAACAGATAGACGATTTGTAATAATGACGATGGTACTAGTACTATAATAATATTAAATGTAATCATATCTCTTTCAGGATAGAATCAGTGAAGAAAGAAGACAAGGGGATGTACCAGTGTTTTATTAGAAACGATCAAGAAAGTGCTGGAGCTAGTGCAGAACTGAAACTTGGAGGAAGATGTAAGACGACAGATCATAATTCGTAATATAATAAAATAGAATAATTTTTGTACAAAACTAATATATTCTTTATCAAATTACAGTCGAACCACCACTAATCCGCCATAGCTTTGGTGAGCAAACTTTGCGATCAGGCCCGTCTCTCAGACTGAAATGCGTCGCGTCTGGTAATCCAACTCCCGACATTGCTTGGCTCCTGGACGGCGACAAACTGAATAGCGGAGAACGCTTGCAGATAGGACAATTCGTTACGGCTGATGGCAACGTTGAATCTCATTTAAATATCTCTTCTGTACACACCAACGATGGCGGATTGTACTCTTGCATTGCGTCTAGCAAGGTACGTCTACTAAGATTTTCCATTTCCTACTTATTATTATTCTTTCTTTACACAACAATCAAGTAATAATTTTTCGTATTACGATTAATATAACAGCTATTTATTCGTTCTAAACTTATTTAGTTATGGTATGCTTTCAGTTTACTGATTTATTTAGATTTTTGTGCTTACAATATTCTGTAACATCTATGATAGCCAATATCCATACATAACCAATTATAGTTTTGCATCTATAATAACAGAATATACAAATACAAGTATTTAATTAGAACATGAACAATACACATACCTCAAGTACTTGTAACAAAACGATAGCCAATAACCATACATAACCAATTATAGTTTTGCATCGATAATAATAGAATATACAAATACAAGTATTTAATAAGAGCATATATATACCTCAAGTACCTACTTGTAACAAAACGATAGCCAATAACCATACATAACCAATTATAGTTTTGCATCTATAATAATAGAATATACAAATACATGTATTTAATTAGAACATGCAACAATACACATACCTCAAGTACTTGTAACAAAACAATTACATCTGACCGAACAAGAGTCGATAGATAATAACCCTACGCCAAAAGACGCATGCTTACTCAACCAACTGTTTCATCAAGATCTCTCATCTGTCCAAACTCTTGTTAGCTCTACGACATGCACTATTTTTTCTGTAGTTAGCCGTCGAAATTGTCTTTTGATAGCCTATTTTAAAAGTGACATACGTGTCGCCTTTTTTAACCGACTTCAAAAAAGGACGAGGTTCTCAATTCGACTGTATGTTTTTTTTGTATGTATGTTACGCGATAAGTCCGGTATTTGTGAACCGATTTTAGTGATTCTTTTTTTGTTGGAAAGAGGGTACCTCCATAGTGGTCCCATTTTATTTTGAAGAAAATCATCCACCTCTAAGAGTGGCCTTATTTTAATGGTAGATTTTGCTGTTCTCTAATTCAAGGCGTTTTTTTCTCTCAATATACTTTGAATAGTGAGAACCGATTTCTATTATCTCCTGTGTCAAGTTCCGTATAGTGGCGAACTAGGGGATGAATCCAGGTTTGCGCACTTTCCGGTAACCGGTTTCAAAAAAACTTAGCAAACAGATGTAATTCCAGCTACTTTTGAGGTCGGTTTTTTTAGTACTCTGTACTGAGCTTATTACGTGGTAAAGGCCACATTTTTTTTATCGTTCGTCACTCACAGGTCAACTACGAATTTTAATATTACAAATATACGAAAATTATTCGATGAATAGTGAAAATGTTGATACACATTATCGAGACTCTGATAGCTAATACTTCACTCACACTCACGTGATCATCAAGCGCGACGGAATTATGTAGAGTCGTCTAGTGCGTACTTTGCACAACTTTTAAACTGTTTAGTAATGTTTCATGTTGTAAGCAATTTTTTTACATAAAGGTGGGAAGCGTGTCACATTCAGCTCGCGTGAACGTCTACGGTCTACCCTACGTACGCCCCATGAAGAAACGCCCTGTCGTCGCCGGAGACACCCTTATCGCCCACTGCCCTGTTGCCGGCTATCCCATAGACTCTATTGTTTGGGAAAGAGACGGAAGGTAGGTTTCCGGTCCCTTGTTTTATAGTTACGCATATTATCATATATATTAACATTATACAAAGTATGATTGGTGATTCAATATTTATTGAATAAAGTAAAAGTTAATAGATTCAGGTGTTTCAAAAAATGGAAATAAATTACTGAAGGATAAATCGTAGAAAATAGCTGCGCTTGAGAGAAATTTTACTTCATGTAGTTAATTTTCCCATTCTCCCTCCGCAAAAGATTAATAAATAAATAACACTACGGTCAACTGCAACTACGGTCACAAACACCACCATCGAAAGTATACAGGTGTTTCGCCAATCTACGAGGTATGCTTAAGAGTTGTTGGTGGCCGAACACGGCCGAGTCAAGCAAAATTTTATTATATGAATTTTAAAATTAACTAAATGAAAAAATATTTTACACAAACGCAGCTATTTTTCATGATTTAACATTCACTGAGTTTGCGGAGAAGCAAATTAATTCGTTTCCATTTTTAAAGTTAATGTGAACCCTTTACAGTAACAAATATATACCATAGCCATTGACTTACAATTATATGGACGTCGGGTCCGCGCTAAAAAGTGTCCGAACTTATAGGGCGTTAAAATCGTATACAGAGCGTCATTCACGCTTGTCTTCATTTGTTCGACTGACAGCGAAGCAAGCAAAATTAGACAGTACTGCTGCGGTGACATTACAATTTAAATTCAACGTTTTAGCTTTTTCATATTCCTTTACATGTCACTACGTTTAAATAGGTTGACTTGGGACATTTTTTTCGTGGTTTTTGTATTAGACCCGTCGTCCATTTATTTGTAAGTCAATGACCATAGCCGAAAATATGCTTAAGACAGCGATTTTCATAATTTACTTATTTACATTCTACCAGGGTACTGCCCATTAACCGCAAGCAGAAAGTGTTCCCTAATGGTACTCTAGTAATCGAGAACGTGGAGCGAATGAGCGACCAGGCCACCTACACTTGCGTTGCTAAGAACTCACAAGGTTACAGTGCAAGAGGAACTTTAGAACTTCAAGTTATGGGTAAGTTATATTATAATTAGTTGATTTTATTGTACCAACAGCATTTGGTACGCGAAAGTTAAGATACACCTAGTACGAGTATCATACGAGTCCGACAATTAATTAGATACCCTATTTTCGTAGATAGAGGGTTTTTCAACAAGAAATTTGTTTTGTAAATCGAAATAAAACAATAAATTTAGATGACAATGATTCAAATTTTGATGGTATTAAAAAAAGTAAGGTTTGGCAATTATGAATTAAAAAATGATATCTGATAAAATTTATCAGTAACTTATGATTGACAGATGTAGATTCTTTCATCAAAGTTTTAATCACGTTTTGACAAAATGGTGGGTCTATTTCGGTAATAACTTCACGAATTTTGTGTTTTAAGGCTGCAATCGACTCGATCATTGTCATCTAAATTTATTGTTGTATTTTGATTTACAAAACAAAGTTCTAGTTGAAAAACCCTATACTATACGAATATCCAAGATAATTTAATAAAACATCATTGAATATGAATTGAAACTGGAAACAAAGTCGCATATAACGACATAACGACTTTACTTATCGAAGACTTTAACGTACTCCGTGTTAACTGGTCAGTGTGAGTGCAATGAATTAATAACAGTTCCAGGTACATACAACAATAAATATAGATGATACTTCTGGTACAGTCGATGCCCTAAGATACCTGACTCTCTAACCGTCTATTTGGTTCTGAGTAGATCAGTGTGAAGAAAAGCGTTTAACAAAATTAACCTTTGTCCTGAGAGCCGTAAAAATCATTTTGGTATGAGTTCCTTATTGCATCATTAGTGAATGACGTTTCAAGAAACTTTTTATGCCAATTTGATCTTTAATTATATTGCATAAATACCAATTTCGACAAAAAAACTGGAATTCCTTTACACTTTTCTGTTGAATACGTAAGAAGGCTCTCAGAACCAAAAGGTCGGCTAGGGAGTCCGGTATCTTAAAGCATCAACTGTACTTAAGGAACGAACAAGTGATTCATTTCATTCGCAAGTTTTAACTATTAAGTACAAAACTATGATGATTATGATTATTGTAAAGAAGAAGAGAGCCTCTTACGCAAAACACATTTTAAAGACAAAAACTTAGTTATTTCCAAAGTCGTTGTTTAATATAAATGTTTAAAGGAATTGCTTAAGAGGTGTGCCAGTGAGTTATATAAATGAATTAATGGCAATATTAATACATACAATAAACAAAAATCAATTTAACTCAGTCAATCTCTTCTAGAAAATAATATCATGGATAAAACTGTACGAAAAAACTAAGTAAATGAAAGATTATTTATATATACATAATTTCACAGATGTCAAACAAACAAACATTCTATAAATCACCGCAAATTATATCAAATCTATGATATTATTTACTGTATTAATAATAATTATAATTTCTTTTCAGGACGGTATTATAACTGTTATATTTTAGAGAACGAAATTTTAAATTAACATTTTTTAGGAAAAGTATTAAAGGTGTTTATGCCCGCCAAAGATACATCGTTTGCCGTATACGCTCCTGTACCTTTATTCTTAGCTTTTTAATGTGGGTATCATTAAATAACGCACAGTTGCTCCGCAAATTCTGCCATTTGAGTTCGGCGAGGAACCCGCGAACGCCGGAGATATGGCTTCGATATCTTGCGCCGTGAGCAAAGGCGATTTGCCGCTGAACATAACGTGGATGCTTAATGGCCAAACAATATCTAACAACAACAAGATGGGAATCGTACTAACGAGTATCAACAAAAAAACCTCGATTATGAATGTAGACTCAGTAAGTGGAATACACAGGGGCACCTACCACTGTGTGGCAACGAACCCGGCAGGCACCGCCAACCACAGTGCGATACTTGAAGTTAATGGTACTATACAGATTGATATAACATCTCGGCTTGTGTTACTTTCGGTTAAAATTATTTCCAAATTCTTTTAGATACCCTGCCTATTGCAATGTAACCAAAATTTTGCTTTAGTCCCACCACAAATCACGCCGTTCGAATTCGGGGAAGAAATTCTAAATGAAGGAGAGACTGCATCCGTGTCTTGCGTAATGAGCAAAGGAGATCTTCCTGTCGTATTCAAGTGGCGCTTTAATGGAGAAGAAATAAGGCCGCGTAACAAACTTGGGATAGTCTTAACCACCATCAGCAAGAAAACGTCTATACTTAACATTGAACCCGTCAGCTCTATTCACAGAGGCTCATACACTTGTGAAATTAAAAACGATGCGGGTGAAACCAATCACACCACACTCCTAAGCGTTAACGGTTCGCTTCAATCATTATTAGTTTGTTTTGTTTTAATACCACCGCTTTTTATATCACGACAGTTCCTCCTCAAATCTTACCCTTCGAGTTTGGCGATGAACCTGCCAATGCTGGTGATACCGCATCCGTTCAGTGCGTTATGAATAAAGGCGATTTACCAGCCAATTTCTCATGGAGTTTGAATGGAAGAAAAATAGCGCAGCGTAATAATATGGGTATAGCCTTTGGTAGCATGAGCCGAAAAATGTCCATCCTTAACATTGATTCTGTAAATGGAACTCATAGAGGGGTATACATCTGTCATGTCGAGAATCAAGCTGGTCATGTGAATCACAGTGCAACGTTGGAAGTCAATGGTTTATAATTCCACATACATATTCAAATTTTTTCGTAGCGTCGCAATTTTATATTCTGTTTTTATCTTACGTAGTATTCATTTTATTACTGTCCTAATAGTGATGCCCCAAATCCATCCATTTACCTTCGGCGAGGAACCGGCCAATGCAGGCGACACAGTTGGAATACAATGTATGGTCACAAAAGGGGACGCTCCTATTAACATAACATGGCAATTAAACAGGAAGCCTGTACGTAATATCCCAGGAATCACAGTAACCAAGATTGGTCATAAGTCAAGCAGTCTTTCTATAGACTCAGTAGCTTCAATACATTCAGGCACCTATACTTGTTCAGCTACCAATCAGGCGGGACATGCCAATTTTTCTTCAGAGTTGGCAGTTAATGGTAACTTCATAAAATATGCCGTGCACGCATATAATATGCTTTTATATTTTATTTTTCTGGCATAAAATAGCATTTGTCCTTTCCTTTGTCCTGTTTTATAAATTGTAGATTTATGACAGGGTTGCTTGAGTTCACTTTATTTCAGCTAAATGGAAACGTCTTGATAGTTATACCACAGGTCACGCCGTTCCACTTCGGGGATGAAATTTTAAATGCTGGAGACACAGTATCACTGACTTGCACTGTGGGGAAAGGCGACTTGCCTTTAAAAATTCATTGGCAACTCAACGGTGTAGATTTAAACACCGGAAACGGTGTTGTAATAAACAGAAATGGAAAAAGAATATCTGTCTTGAGCATTGAAAACGTCCAACATGAACACATCGGCAATTACACTTGCATAGCTGAAAATGACGCTGGGATTTCTAGTCACAGCGCCGTGCTCAACGTTAATGGTATCAAAATTTACAATTGTCACGAAATGAACTTTTTATTTTATTCGCACGGTTTTTGGATATTTTGTATTTATTTTTACGTATTATAATGCTGTCCTACCTCCTCAAGTTGCCGTAGGAATGAACTATCAATCATGGTTGCTCCGTAAACAGTTAGGAGTAATCCCATTGTCCCGCAGGGCATAACCACGTGTGTGGCAAAGAGCAAAATTTCACTTCGGCCATTATAACTTTGCCATTTTACATCCTATATTTGTAACATACTTTTTTATTATCTTTAGTTGCACCACAAATTATGCCCTTTGACTTCGGCGCTGAACCTGTCAACGATCAAGAAATGGTTGTAGTCATTTGCACCGTCAGTAAAGGCGACATGCCCCTCAATATACAATGGTTCTTTAACCAAAAACCGGTCAAGACTGAAACTAATGGTATAACGCTTACAAACACCAAGCGAACCAGCCAGCTCACAATCGAATCAGTCACTCATCATAATCAAGGAAACTATACATGTGTTGTCAAAAATCAAGCTGGTGAAACAAACCATACAGCAGAACTCTACGTGAACGGTACTTTGGTGTGGCAAGCATAACAATTACAACACTCTCGTTTCTGCTTTTACCGCGTTTTCAAAATGCTTTCAATTTGATTTTGCCTTTTCCCTATAGTTCCTCCGCAGATAACGCCGTTTGAATTTGGCGAAGAAACAGTAAACGCCCAAGAAATGGTTTTGGTTACCTGCACCGTTAGCAAAGGTGATCTTCCGTTAAAGATTGATTGGTACTTCAATGGAAACAAAGTGAAATCAGGGGATAAAGGCGTCAGTCTTCTAAATACTAAGCGCACGAGCCAACTTAGTATTGAATCCGTTAGTCATCAAAATCAAGGAAATTATACTTGTGTTGTGAATAATGAAGCGGGCTCCATGAATCACACGTCACAATTATTTGTAAATGGTATAAACTTTACAACCATTAACAATATTTGTTTTATGTAACACTAAAACACCGTAGATTGTAGTTCCTGTTTTGTTCCCTCCTACATCCAAACTAACTGTTCCCCTTCGTAACTTTGGCGGGGCATAAAAATCTGTACCGAATTTCTTACATTATTTTCTAAAATACTAAAAGACTATTAGGGTTTTACAGTGGCGCCAATCATAGCTCCTTTTGAGTTCGACGAATCCATATTTTATGGAGAGGGAGTTCAAGTAATGTGCCACGTAACTAAAGGGGACAAACCTCTGGATTTCAAATGGAGTTTTAACGGAGGAGAAGTGAGTTTACTGACAGGGTTGACCATCATGAACGTTGGGGACATGGGATCCGCTCTCATAATACCTGCAGTGACAGCTAAACATGCTGGCAATTACACGTGTACTGCCTCCAACATTGTCGCCAGAGCTAGCCACCACGCCACGCTCAATGTTAAGGGTACACGTCATACGTTCGCAATGCATAGTCTGTGCTTTCTGTGTTCGTTTTCCCCACCAACCCTTTCACTCAAATTAATCTCATTACAAAGTAAATAAAGTTTACACATAAAATTTCTGTTGGACGTCTTTTTCAGTCGCGCCAATTATATCTCCGTTTGAATTTGATGAAGCTGTTTTTTATGGAGAGAGCATACAAGTTATGTGCCACATTCCAAAAGGCGATATGCCTTTAAATCTCATATGGTTGTTCAATGGACGACTCGTAAATACAAACGATGCAGTAACCGTAACAAAAGTAGGAGATAGAAGTTCCATACTGGCAATTCCAGCCGCAACAGAAAAACATTCCGGAAATTATACTTGCACCGCTTCCAACACAGTAGCCAGCACCAACCACACAGCCATATTAAACGTTCAGGGTACACTCAATGTTTATTTTGCGTCTTGTTGTTTTCAGTTTGATTTTTCTTTTCTTGTTACCCTCACCAGTTCCTCCGCACATCGTTCCATTTGAAGCCGAAGAGCAGGTCTTTGCCGGTGAATCTGTACAACTGACATGTCATGTATCTAAAGGGGATGCCCCTCTGACTATCACATGGAGTTTCCATGGGCAAGAATTGTCCACCCATCAAGGAATAACTACAACCAAGATTGGCCACCGTACCTCACTGTTAACAATATCAGCTGCGACATTCGGTCACAGTGGAGAATATTCATGCCACGCCACCAACCTTGCTGGATTGGCTGTTCACTCCGCTACTGTCAATGTTCATGGTATTCCCAGAAATCCGTTCGCTACTCTTGCCTCTACCGCACGTTGCACGCTTGCCTCAGTAATAAACTTGGCTTTCTGGATTAACAGTACTGCCATACATCGTACCCTTCGAGGCGGACGAGTCGGTGTTCGCCGGCGAGTCAGTCCAGCTCAATTGTCATGTATCGAAGGGTGACTTGCCACTTGACATTAAGTGGCATTTCCATGGCTTTGAAAATACCTCGTCACACCTCGGCATCTTAACTACTAAAATGACTTCGCGTACTTCGTTTCTATCCATCGCGGCTGCCACCGCCAGTCACAGTGGCAACTATACCTGCGTAGCTACCAACAGTGCCGGTTCTACCAATCATTCAACTGTCCTTAATGTTCATGGTCAGTTTAATTTACTCATCATATGTCATCGTATGTTAAGTACATCACAGCCATTCAATGCGTGCAAGCATATGAATGGAACTAGCATGTATTCTATTCATATGTGTTTGTAAAGTACGCTTTTATTTTATTTTGTCATCAATTTGTTTTAACCTTTCATCAACAGCATTTATTTCATACAGTTACACCAAACATTTTGACCTTTGACGTCGGCGAAACCCTGTTTTCGCGAAAGTTGGTGCAAATGATGTATCACACAATGAAAGAAATTCTCTTTGAATGTACATTAAGAATTTAATGGACTCGGCCTTTGTTGTGGGCCTTAGGAACATTTTTGAAGGCAATAGGTCTTCGTTGTTAGTACGGGGGTCGATGGGGATCGATTACAAACATTCCTTTTATTTGGGATATTTGTTTTTAAACTGCACTTTTCCATTTTGTCTGATAGAATATTTTCGGTTTTAAGTGGTTCCACATATAAAACCATTCGAGATTGAAGAAACAATATTTGCGGGAGAGTCTGTGCATCTTACATGCCACGTATCGAAAGGAGACCGACCACTTCAAATAACATGGAGTTTTCAAGGAAATGAAATACCTTACCATAATAACATGGGAATCACTACTACTAAGTTAGGAGATCAAGCTTCTGTGCTAAGCATACCGACCGCAATGGGTCGCCACAGCGGAAACTACACGTGCACTGCCAGTAATCGCGCCGGTCGTGCGCATCACTCTGCCCTTATCAACATTCATGGTATTCGATGTCGTCTTTACCCTTAGAGTTTCTATTTTATCTTGCAACTTCAAAATATAGACATGCACGTTTAGATCTAATTTTAGAATTTATTGTTCTTTCTATTTTGATTAGTTCCTCCCCACATAATGCCGTTCGAAATAGAGGAGTCCATCTACTATGGAGAGTCGGTGCAAATTACTTGCCATGCCAGCAAAGGTGACAGGCCTATAACCATCACGTGGACATTTGAAGGCAACGAGTTATCGAGTCATAGTATGGAAATTAAAACAATGAAAATGGCAGACCAAACTTCTTTTTTATCAATACCGTCGGTCACGGGGGCACATAGTGGAAATTACACTTGCATTGCGCGAAATAGAGCTGGAGAAGACAGATACTCTACGTCTCTCCATGTCAAGGGTATTCATAGTTAGACATCGCAGCATGCTTGTAAAAATTATGTAAATTAATGCTAATATTTCCTTATTTAGTCGTTCCCCACATCAAACCCTTCGAGTTGGACGAAGCCGTGTTCGCGGGGGAATCTGTTCATCTTGACTGTCACGTATCGAAAGGGGATACGCCCTTAAATATTACTTGGAGATTTCAAGGAGAACCTGTTACTCGAAGAATGGGCTTGAAGACTACAACACTTAGCGAGCGCGTCTCCGTCCTTGATATCCCAAATGCTTTGGGCCAAAATAGTGGCAACTACACATGTACAGCAAGTAACAAAGCGGGCACCGCGAGTCACACTGCAGTCCTCAACGTCATTGGTACCGATACCTAAAACTCAATATTCTGGGTGATGCTTGCTTTCTGTTCAGTTCCTCCTGTGGTCCAACCCTTCTCATTTGGGGAAGTCGCGATGAACTCCGGGCAAGTCGTAACGGAACCGTGTTCAGTAATCGAGGGCGACCACCCCTTGCAGCTGCGGTGGTTGTTCAACGACGAACCTATTAAGCCGAGGTCCGGTGTCACCGTATTTAACATAGGAGAAAGAAGCGCTATTCTTAGTATTGGTTCCGTATCCCATATACACGCTGGGAACTACACTTGCGTCGCGGAAAACCAAGCAGGAACTCATTCTCATACCGCAACTTTGATCATTAACGGTTAATTACACTGTTCTCGTTCTTACTTATTAGATCATTTTGTTATTATATTTCGTTGTATACACCACCCAATAATTAAATTAACTTCCAGTCCCTCCTAATATTCTGCCATTCACGTTGGGCGAAAAGCCTGCTAATGTAGGAGAGTATTTGCAAGCAGCTTGCACTGTTAATTTTGGAGATCTTCCATTGACTATCACCTGGACTTTCAACGGAAATCTTATTTCACCAATAAATAGTGATTATATTATGACTAATTCTAAACGGAGCAGTATACTTATAATTGAATCTGTCGACGCAAAACACGCTGGCACTTATACTTGCATTGGAGAGAACCACGCGGGGCGTACATCATATTCAGCAGAACTAATAGTATACGGTTAGTCGCATCGTAATGGTAGATTGTATTGTTTTGTCTATTAGATGATAACATTTGTTTCAGTTCCTCCAAAAATAGCACCTTTTTCTGCCGGGTCAGAGCCGGCTTTTCTTGGTGATTATTTTGCACTTCAATGCATTATAACACACGGCGATCAACCGGTACAAATCGAGTGGACGGTCAATAATAAGTCAGCTAACTCCCTCTCTGGAGCTCGCGTCAGTAACGTGGACCGAAGAAGTAGTGTTCTCACGATAGAGTCAGTGGACGCGAAACACGCCGGCCTATATAATTGTACAGCAAGCAATGGTGCAGGCGTCGCTTCGCACAGCACGGAGCTTATAGTAAAGGGTGCGAAATAATTATGACTACGTTTCTGCTTGCCACTTCTCCTCACTCATATCTATGCGTTTGTTGCTTTAAAGATTTTTATTGTCCTAGTTCCACCCGTGATAGTGCCGTTCAATTTCGGAGAGGTGCCATCCAACCCTGGAGACACAGCGGTAGTAAACTGCGTTGTTACAAAGGGTGACTTGCCTCTCGAAATATCGTGGACGTTTAGCAGCGAGACAATAGATTCAACCCAGCAACGAGACATCACAACGACTCCGCTAGGACCACGCGCCTCAGTACTCACCATCAATTCAGTGAGCGCTAACCACCAAGGAAACTACACATGTATTGTACAGAACGAGGCTGGCCGCGCGGAGTACGTGGCAACCCTCATCGTAAATGGCACGTCTATATTATTATGCAATATTGAGATCTCACAACAATGGGGACTAACATCACAGAATCGCACTTTCGAAAGATCGATCTATACACAACACTACTGTATACTCCACAATCTCACCAGTCGCTAACATTGCCTGACTATGATCGTTTTAACACACTTTCTATGATATTTCCAGTACTACCTCGCATTGTTCCGTTCTCGTTCGAGACTCCATTGTTTGCGGGGCAGGCGACCCAAGTAACTTGTTTAGTCTCGGAGGGCGATCAGCCTCTCAATATTCAATGGTACTTCAAAGGACAACCTTTAAAGGCGAAATTCGGTGTAACACCGACTAACATAGGACAAAGGGCATCATTGCTTCTCATAGACCCAGCGAACTGGTCACACAGCGGCGCGTATGCGTGTGTCGCGCGTAATAATGCGGGCTTATCCAACTATACCGCCTCACTCGAAGTTCACGGTACTATTTATCATCTGACTCCCCAATACTAGCACGGATGAGCTTTGCATAGATTCAGTATAATGCTTACTCGACTTTTTCAATATAAAGTATGCTCTGAACGTCAATCCGACGATATAAAATGGATCTTCGTTGAATTATCTTCAAAATGCCGAAATCGTTAAAAAATCGTCTTGAATGTCGTTCTAAGGAACCGGCTGCGGCTATCATCGACAAAACCATTTCTTGTTCCTATCCTTGCGAGTTCAGTTTTTCTAATCCTTCCTTTCCTTGTGTTCCTGTCTGTATTTTATGTTGGTTCAATTATTTGCATATGTGACGTTTAGGTTCGCATGCTGTTTATGCTTGTCTTACTAACTTATACGTTGAAATAATTTTGGTTTCCCAATAAATAATATTTTCTGATTTTGTGGAACATAAAATAATTTGTAAGATTTCAGAAATTGTCAGTTGCGCATAAACATTATTTCAACGGACATTACGTTTATTTTGGGTGATTTGGTGCTTGTTCATTTCAGTTCTTCAATCAAAAATTACTAACTAGTTTTTTATGTTGTACGTAAATGTAGTCCTGCTTCTAAATTTCTTTTGCAAATACGTATGTTAAAGATACTTAAAAAGCTTCTATAGCGACAGCTTTGCAGGTATAATCGTATAATCAAAACATTTACTCACTACTTTCATTATTTCTTCAATATTTAAATTTCCAATCAGGCAATTTGAAATTTTTAAACCATGTTATACAAATCTTTGTATTATCTATGCGATTTTTGTATTAATAATCATGTTATACAAATTCTTGAGTTCTAGGAGCTTTTTAGGTATTTCAAACTGTTAAAATTGAATCGATATGTGTTCAGTGTTATTTAAGCCAATTCATTAGATTTCTAAAACAGTGCTGGTTATAAGTCGTAAATTTTACTTAGTAAATAAATTACATTCTTAAACGTTCGATTCAAATTTAACCAGTGTCCTAATTATAATTTGTTTAGACAAGAGTAATATTTTGGAGTCAAAATTTTCTTTTTAATTTCATAACAACAAAATCTTTTTAATTTAAAGAACGAATTAAGGTAACTAAAATAAAATCGTGCCCTTGTCTAAACTTTTGCCAATGTAATTAAAATAGATATCCCTCAAAAACTTTCTTAAAGCTAATAGCTCGAAGTACTGGACCGTTTTTAATTTTTTTAAGTCCAATGATTTAATTTAAAGTTTGGGTATTAAAATACATATGTATACATAATAATATATAAAATTTAAAAAAACTTTGCAATAGTAAAACTCTAATAACAAGTTTTAAGCAAAACTCTAAGAAGAATTTGTCTTATACATTTACTTAATAATGGCTCCAAAATTTACGTTAAAAGCAATAATTTTAATCTGACTCGTGACATTTTCAGTTCCTCCTCGCTGGATTCTTGAGCCTACAGATAAAGCATTTGCACAAGGCTCTGATGCTAAAGTAGAATGTAAAGCCGATGGTTTTCCAAAGCCCCAAGTGACATGGAAGAGGGCTGAAGGTAGGAATATCTTAAGTTTATCTAAAACCTTGATAGGTATGTAGGTGGTCTGTCTATGTGATCATAGACAGACCACCTACATAGGCCCTGGTTCAACATTCGAAATATGAAGCTCCATGCGGCTGCAAGTTTCGTAGGCAGACGTCTACGAAAGGGAAAATATTTTCACAATTTCAATTTTATGTAAAGCATTTAATATAACCCCATTGATGTAATTTCAGGAGACACTCCTGGCGATTACAAAGACCTTAAACCGAACAATCCTAACGTGAAAGTTGAGGATGGTACTTTATCTATTTCAAATATTCAAAAGACAAACGAAGGCTATTACCTTTGCGAAGCCGTTAATGGAATTGGATCTGGATTGTCAGCTGTCATTCTTATTAGCGTTCAGGGTAAGTTTTGCTTAGTAGAAATGTAGAATTAAGATGAATAAAAGACCTACCTTACACTATTGTGTAGCTGTTAGATTGTACTAAAAGTTTAATTAACTGTTATTCTAGCTCCTCCACAATTTGAGATTAAGATGAGGAATCAAACTGCTCGACGAAGTGAACCCGCTGTACTACAATGCCAAGCTAAGGGTGAAAAGGTAGTGGATAAATTCGAAATTTAAAATTGAATGCATCTAAACTCGCTGATGCTCATTAACTTATTTTCCTAACATTTACAGCCCATCGGTATCATTTGGAACATGAACAACAAGCGACTTGAGCCTAAATCCGATCCCCGATACACGATCCGCGAAGAGATTTTGCCTGGTGGTGTTGTATCCGATCTTAGTATTCGGCGAACCGAACGAGCTGACAGTGCACTTTTCACGTGCGTCGCCACTAACGCTTTTGGCTCTGATGATACTAGCATCAATATGATTATTCAAGGTACAAACCAGCGTCGTTACTATAAGGCCTTCATATTATTAACATACTTAATAAATGTACATAAGCAAACGTACATATTTCATTTACAGAGGTACCTGAAACTCCATACGGCTTAAAGGTGCTAGACAAATCTGGCAAGACTGTTCAGTTATCTTGGGCTGCTCCTTACGATGGAAACTCGCCAATCAAAAAGTACCTCATTGAATACAAACACGCTAAGGGCAACTGGGAAAAGGATATTGACAGGCAAGAACAATTCGAATTCACTTTGTTTGTTTTCGTTAAGTTATATACATATATAAAGGTGTACTTATGAAATATCTAAAACTTTGTAAACAGGGTTCTCGTACCTGGTGATACGACTGAGGCTGGAGTGTACAGGCTGCGCCCTGCCACCACATACCACATCAGGATTGTCGCTGAGAATGAACTAGGAACATCTGAGCCTTCAGAAACTGTGACCATCATTACTGCTGAAGAGGCGCCCACTGGTCCACCACAAGACGTTAAAGTTGATGCTGTGGACAAACATACGCTTAGAGTTACGTGGAAACCACCACCACCTAAGGATTGGAATGGCGAACTCCAAGGGTTAGTTATAATCTATATCAAGCTCATCACTCCACCTGTATTGTAATCATTAACGCTGTTAATTACTATATTCATCAATTTACAGGTACTACGTTGGTTATAAACTGGCCTCAAGCAACAAGTCTTTCGTATTCGAAACTGTTGATATCTCAAAGGAATCTGGTAAAGAGCATCACTTGGACATTCTGAATCTGAAGTAAATATTATCGTAATACGAGTATATGAATGAATACGATAAAAAAATGCAAATTACTTACGACTTTGTTTTTGTAAAATTTATTAATTTCAGAACCTATACGCAATATTCAGTAGTCGTTCAAGCTTTTAACAAGATGGGTTCTGGACCAGTTTCAACAGAAGTAAAGGCTTATACCGCTGAAGGTGCTCCCTCTGCTCCACCACAAGATGTGCTTTGCACTACCCTCACTGCCCAGACGATTCGAGTTTCATGGATCTCTCCTCCTTTGGCTTCTGCTAATGGACTTATTAAAGCCTACAAGGTGGTCTATGGACCCAGCGAAACTTGGTATGGTGAGTATGTACATATAAAACGTTTAGAAAATTATTTTCAAAAACTGTTAACTGATAACGATATGAGAGAACTATTACCTATATAAGAGTCAATTCGTTATTAACAAAATTTCAGACGAAAAGACAAAAGACACTAAGATTACGGCTAGCAGCGAGACTATTCTTCATGGACTTAAAAAATACACGAACTACTCAATGGAAGTGCTTGCAACAACCAATGGAGGTGACGGTGTCAGGTCTGCTCCTATTCACTGCCAGACTGAGCAGGACGGTAATATTTCGTGATCACTAAAAACTGTCTCCATTTTTTAGCACTATAAAATATGTAACAGACTTTACTAATACAACTATTTCTTTATAGTACCCGAAGCACCACGAGCTGTGAAAGCGCTAGTTATGGGACCTGATTCGATTCTCGTTTCCTGGAGGCCGCCAGCGCAGCCAAATGGTGTTGTCACCCATTACAACGTATACACCCAAGCTCAGAACGCTGAACCTCATCCTAACAAGGTATAAATAGAACACACACACACGAAATAAACCTTAGATCAATTCAACCTACATGAAATCTAACAAATCTTCAACATTTTATAGGTACTAGCATCTCAAACTAGCTACTCCGCAACTGATTTAAAACCAGGCCGCTACGACTTCTGGGTCACTGCTTCTACAATTATTGGTGAAGGTCAACCGTCAGCCACAGCATCTTGCAGCCCTAGCGACAAAGGTAAAATAACTTTCCATATAAATACAATTTTAAAATTGATTTAACGCAGTTTATTTTACTCCTGAAACAGGTAATCAGGTAAGGTCTGTTTTAGGTGTCAGTCTTCCATTTATAATACAACATTGACATTAGTCAGTAAGAAACAATGAAATTATATTATGAGATTATTTTTTAACTATTTTTCAGTGCCAGCAAAGATTGCATCTTTCGACGAGTCTTTCACTGCCACATACAAGGAAGATGTTAAATTGCCCTGTCTCGCTGTAGGTGTACCTCCTCCTAACATTCTATGGAAGGTAAGACTGATGATTGAAAAAAAATAGCTGAAATTAATTATGGTTTAATTCGGACAAAGGCTAATCTTTCTGCATTGTTTAGGTAAAAGGCCAGCCCCTAGAAGCATCTGAGCGTGTACGACAACTGCCCGAAGGTTCGCTTCAAATTGCTGGTGTAGCTCGTGAAGACGCTGGGGAATATTCATGCCATGTTGATAATCAGTTCGGCACTGACACTGTTACACACACACTTTCTGTCCTTGGTGAGTACGATAATAATTTCCGAGGTCGTACAGCCTTCTTATTGTCAGTTATCGTACTAAACCAAATTACGCATAATATGTCGGAAACAATCATGAGCACGGACGAAAAACTGCGACATAGGGAACTGTGGGTGGTGACGAGAGAGGATACAGTGCTGGTTGGACATAGTGTTCTGTGGGTTGGACTCTCGAGCGGCACACCACCACCTAAAAACTGTCCTACGTTTCGCCTATTGCCTAATTCGATCGTTAAAATTGATAGAAAGGACAAGTTGTTATTCGATTTCAAAGTGATTAAAATATAGTGTTACCATTAAATGCAATCTAATTGTACGATTCCTAAATCTGCTGAAACGATGTCTGAAGATTCATTTCTAAACCTTGACGGTTCCGACACATATAATCTGCAGGCACTTTAAATTATTAAATGGGATAGACATCGAGGTCATTTTTTATTTGATTTTTAGTTTTTAATGTGAAATTAATAATCACTTAAATTGTCGTCTCTAGCACCACCATTCCCACCGCAACTGAGCATCGCGGCTTCCTCTGTATCCTCGCTAACTCTTCGCCTGAAGCCTTCTGAAGATGCCGACCAGTCGCCAGCTGCCGGCTACACCATCCATCATAAACAGGAATTCGGAGATTGGGAAACTGTTCAGGTGAGTGCGGATCAAACTTTTATTACGTCTTCCGTAGTATAATAATATTACATTTGAAAACAAAGTGATAATCAGGTAGTAATAATTTCATGCATTTATCTTCCAGATTCCTAGCAACACTGATACCTACACTCTAGAAAACCTGCTGTGTGGTTCTAGATATCAGCTTTACGTAACTGCTTACAACGGGTAAGAGAAAAATCTAAGATTAATTATATCGATTTTAATACCAGAATTTGAAATTTTATCAATAATATTCTGTTGCAGAATCGGCACCGGTGAAGCCTCAGACGTAGTAATTGCTCGTACTCGCGGATCCAAGCCTCCGGTGCCTCGCGCTGCTGAGTTTATCGAAGTAGGAAGCTCATCGGTGACCCTGCATCTGAAACAGTGGCTAGACGGCGGTTGTCCCATGAGCCATTTCGTTGTGGAGAATAAAAAGAAGTGAGTACACTTTCCACGCAAACAAACAGTACATTAGTCCCAAGTAAAATGTTTATGATTTATTTATAAAGGTAGGTACTTACTTATCTGAGTTTACTTTACAGGGGTGCTGCTGAATGGAACCAGATTTCTAACACGGTGAAACCTGGCGGCAACTTTGTCGTACTCGGTAGGTACCATTCCATTAGAGATACTTCACAAGGGTTACCTATCAGTAGTCCGAATTGACATTTTCCAGAAATAACGTTTGCTCGAATTTTCATAACCTGGAAAGTAATTTTGAGAGGAAACTGTTTTTTTTAAACCTAACCTAACTGACCTAATCGTGTCTTTGCGATAAACAACCAACATATTCTGAAAGAACAACGGTTTCGTTATAATTCGGTTTTCGGTGTAACGAAAATTCGAACAAACGTTATTTCGGAAAAAAAATTCGAGTTTGTGACAGGTTACCTTCACAAGTGACCTTTCTGCGACGACTGTCGTATTAACTTGGAATTGTAAAACATTTTTTTTAGACCTGGAACCGGCCACTTGGTATGTGTTAAGAATAACTGCACACAACAATGCTGGCTTTAACGTCGCCGAATATGAGTTCGCTACGTTGACCATGACCGGAGGTACGTTCACCCGCCATTTCAATTGAAATGTATTTATTTTTAATTGCTTGAATAAATTATTTTTCGAATAACATACCTGAAATGCATTGCCATTTTTGTTCGTCACAAGTTATCATTTTATGACATGTGGATTCCCAGTTAACATGGGGCTTTGCATTTCAGGTACGATCGCACCCGCGCGCGAGATTGGCGGTGGCTCCCTTACTACCGAACAAACAATAAAGATAATTTTGTCTCATCTGAATCTGATCGTACCTGTAGTGGCTGCAATTCTCGTCATCGTCATTGCCATCATCGTAGTGTGCGTGGTGCGAGGATCAAGGGACCAACATAAAGGTGTGTTATAGGAACCATCGCTCCATTGCCCGGCAACTCTTACGCAGGCAGGGAACTGCCCCCTTGGGTGAAGGCTTGGTTGGAACCAGAAGTCTTAGTCCCGATCCTTATGACTATAGTAGTATTCGTCGTGGGAGTGGTGGTGATCTGCTTGACCTTAGCGCGTAGGAACACGCCTCACCGTCTGCGAGGTCAGAAGGACGTGTACTGTATGTATAGTGGCATGAAACGCCGCTTTATTTATTAATTTTCCTACATTCGTTACTTTTTACCATTTAGTGCCTCAATCATGAGATTACAGTTACGTTGCCGGTATATTTGACAATATGCGTGGCAAATTGTACAGCGCCCCTACCGGTCACAAGAAGAAGTAACATTTTGTATACAAATATTTTATGCAGCGCTAATGACAACTGTACTTTAACCTCATGGTCACACATCATCATTTTTTCATGCGAATGATTATTTGTACCCACTCTGTACCTGTAGTGAAGATAATCATTCGCATGAAAAAATGCGTCATTAATTGTCTTCATTTTTCTATTCTTTTGTATCAAAATTCATCGTCTATATTATTTGCGAAAGCTGTTTAGATGTGGTTAGTGACCTATTTACTAACATTATATCTTTAACACATAATAGGTATATACAATAGTCCACATTAAAATCTACGTTAAAATATACGACCGAATCGCTTATGGAGTTAACAAATCATTTATTAACAAATAATTTATTAATTTAGATGATGCAGTATACAACGCGTCGCAAGCTGCTCTAGGTGGAGGCACTGGCACTTTGGACAAACGTGGTGGACTCCGTGATGAACTTGGCTACATTGCCCCTCCAAACCGCAAACTACCCCCCGTTCCTGGATCTAACTATAACACATGCGATCGTGTGAAGAGGCAGGCCGTCATTAGTAAGTAGTGTATAGGCTTAAATCTAAACAACTCTTGTATAGGTACGACTCTAAAACAGTCGCATTTTTTATCACAATTTTTTTCCTTAAATTTTTTCTTCACTACACACTGAATGTTACTTATAAGGTACATTAATAATTAAATGTCCTACTCGTAGTTTTTTTTACCTTTACCTGCACGGCCTAAGCTATTTCTTATCTCCTATGTTCCTCTTCTCTTATTTTACACGTTTTATATTTAATATAAGGGTGACAGCAAAAAGTTCATTATTGCGAATGGTCGTTTTTAAACACACATCGATGGTTTTACTTTAATAATTATCTAATTTCCTTCACTATGGTTGTGGTGAATAGAAAAAAATGTAGCATCCCCTGCTGTGTTGTGACGTCCAAAATGTGACCTCATTGTCTGAACTAGAACGATTCTATATGACAAGTTATACCTAGTGCAGACAAGAATGTGTACGTCATAAACGTCCTATATGGTGTAGTTACTCTTTAATTATAGTCTCACGACAACTTTGTCATTATATATATAACTTAACAACTACAAAATTAGAGTTAGAATTCTAGCTCGTTCTAACATTAGCACTTTAAATGTTAGTTATATAGTAACAAGTGAAACCATATTGGAAGAGTAGAGCTATGCATGCAAAGCGTAACGCAGTAGTGTGGTTCAGTGGGCGCGCACTCAACGTGGGACCCACGCAGGCATCACTACGAGCGTGTGCGGAGGCCGCGCATGCGCCGCGTGGGCTCGGGTGATACTATATCGACAGGTGAGAAGCTTGCTGCCTTACTAGCAAGCAGAGGACATATCTAAAGGCTGATTTTAGATTTGCGCTCAGAACTCGTACAAATAAAAAAACAAAACTAGCGGAAGTCGTAAGATTATGTTGTTTTATTCTCAATAATCACGTCGTGTGTAATATAAAATATTAATATGATATTTATTGCATAAAGAAGTTATAAAAAAAATCAAACTGAAAGTCATTAATTCCACTAAGCACTTGCTAATCTTGCGAAAATCTGAAAACAGCCTCAACACGGAACTAGTGCTGGGAAGTCAGTAAAATAATATCGTATAGAACACGTAACTTTTCGCCTAACAAAGTATTAGTTATTTTGATCGCCACTGACTCTCCAATGCATTACATTAAGATATCGATAACAGAGTGGAGTATAATGCCTGCAGCCTGCGTGAGTATAATTTAAGTGCATGAAATGTGGTGGAAACACTAGTCTGTTTAATTGTCACCATGAAATATAATAAATATTATTTTTAATATATTATTGTTGATATGGAATTGTTGTACCTTTTATGTTGCTTTTTCTCTAACCCAGTTATTTTTATTTGCAATATGAACGCACTGCCTGTAATAAAATACGTAGGTAAGTAAATACGCATGGCAGAAGTAGTAGGTTTACCTATTATAATACGGAAAGACTTACGATACTACAACACCTTAACTACAATTAAGTATTTATAAAATCTGCTCAAGTAGGTGATTTAGAAATCAACATATTAAGCGAAATTAAGTAACTAACCACAAGCGAAAAGCACCTAACCTACGCATATATTTTATTTCATTGTGTCGACAACTAAGCAAATCTGAAAATCCCGCAATCGAACTTGAATTGGCACAATAAAACAAACTAAGAGCGGTTACACCCGGCGACTGATAGCAGCGATGCAGTCGCTAATCGTCTACTTTAAGGGTCATATTCCAGAACTCTACTCAATGCTCAAATCAGGACTTGAGTATGATTTCTAGTGCTTTAAATCATACTCAAGTCAGGATTGTACTGGAAACACAAGCACTGGAAATACGATCCTAATGGCAGGAACTTGAGTATGATTTCGAGTGCTTTAAACCATACTCAAATCCTGACTTGAGCATTGAGTAGAGTTCTAGGATACGTCCCTAAGAGTCGTATTCCAGAACTCTACTCAATGCTCAAGTCTAGACTTGAGTATGATTTCAAGCACTGGAAATACGACCCTAATGGCAAGGACTTGAGTATGATTTCTAGTGCTTTAAATCATACTCAAGTCAGTACACGCGTGCGAGTTTAAGCAGCAATGTAAACGCTATGCAAGGGCGCGACTGCATCGATACAAACGCGTTATTACATTACATCGTTACGCTTACGATTTATACGCGATTGCATCGATGCTGTCGCGCGTTTGCATCGATGCAATCGGCTATAAATCTATAGTGTAGCGACGCATTAATTGCGCGTTTCACGAACGCGCATCGCTGCTAAAAGTCACCGTGTGTGACGACTCTTATGCTCGGCAATTTACAAGCACGTTCTTACATGCTCACAAAACAAATATTACGTTACCACATTACTAACGCCCCATAAAGTGTTTACAGCAATCAATTATTACAATCACGTCTTTACGCAGGCATGGAAGACGAAATATGCCCGTACGCAACGTTCCACCTGCTAGGCTTCCGCGAAGAGATGGACCCGAGCAAGGCATTGGCGTTTCCCCACCACCACGCAGCCCACGCTGGTACTCTGGCCCATCCGCATCCCCACCACCCGGCTCATTCTCGAACTGGATCTCAGAGCATGGTAACGACTCTAAAACAGTCACCTAATGTAGTGATATGGACTACAGGAAATCTTCAATGTACATATTCTGAACCTTAAGATAAATCAATCGTATAGTTGTTTTTGGAGCAGGAACTTGTCCTTACAAAACTGATCATGCTTTTAGAAATTGTCGGGATTGATCTGCTTATTGATATGCTTATTTTTTTGTGAGTTCTCGCATTACATCTTTTAAAGAAAGATTAGTTAAATACGAGGATATATAATAAGGTAATTAATTATAACTAAAAAAAAAAATATTCTCTAGCCCCGTGCCAATAGCCGCTATGCCCGCAAGAACTCTCAAGGAGGACAAAGCGCCATCTACTCGACTGCTCCTGAATACGACGACCCGGCCACCTGCGCTGAAGAGGATCAATACGTAAGTATTCCTTAGGACGAGACGCACAGACATATGCAATACCCACTATAAAAATGCGAAAAAAACTCATATTTTATTAAATAATTTGAGTTAATAAAGAACTTAAAGTTCGTATTTATGCTGGGTGTAGGCTGCATAAAATAGAATTTTATACTCTAGTGCATAAAAGAAATTCGTTTAAGACCGAGGCAATGACGCCTGCGCCAACAGCCACGCACACTAGAACTTTATAAAATAAAGTTTTACTTTTGTTTTTTTAATCCGTGTTACATTACAAAATTAAAAAAGTAGGCGATAGTAATTCTAATAAGTTATAAGAAATAGAAATGCATAAAAATAAAAGCTTGTAAAATATAACTGACCATTATGTAGTCCGACCTAAGTCACGTGTAGAAAAAAAAAGTAGTACATTGGCGGAAAGTTCTTATTTTTTCTTGGCAATAGTTATGTTCTCGTTTATTTGTATATTGTTGTTTAATTTCCTCGCAATCGAAATGAAAAGCAGAGTGTATAACTCGCTCATAGACGCTTTTAATGCACTTGTTGTACAATCTACTATTAACTACCTAATGCCGCCTAGCCTATAAATATGGAAACCTACTTTTGAAATAATCTCGAAAGTCTTGTTTTTCTGAGATTTTCGAGACCGCACCGAGTCGCGATTTTTGTTCCCGAGACGCGGAAATGCAGCGACACTGAAAGCCCTCGTCGAGACTAGTTCTCTCGCTGCATTTCTGAATCCCTTTCTTTAAATTCTCGAATCTAAAGCAAGAGATTTTTCTTACTTAGGCATAATATGTGTACCAGGTATAATTAATTAGTATTACACGTGATCCACATTGTCATATCAATATGAACGTACATTTGTACACACCAGCGCGCCCGCTACTCCCGCCCCATGTACGCCTGCGGTCCCGAGTACGACGAACCTGCTTGCTGCGCTCCGGAAGACGAACAATACACCGGCGCTTACGGCACTCCCTACTCTGATCACTATGGCTCGCGCCCTAGCATTGGTGAGTTATTAGTTACTAGTTCCCAAAAAAGTCAATAATTTCAAATATTGCGAGCTAAAATCCACCAATATTTTTCTTAAACCCATGTGATCATGGGTGTTAGGTCTCAAATACGTTTTAGTACAGTACAAGATAGGTTCGATTATTACACAATCTCGACTCATCAGGAACTCGCAAGTGCGGCGGATCCCCCGAGCCTCCCCCACCACCACCCCGCAATGCCAACAACGATAACAACTGTTCCTCCTCTTTCAACGAGAGCAAGGATTCCAACGAGATCTCCGAAGCCGAATGTGACCAGCCACGCAACTATCCTGGTACGTAAGACGGCTCATATTTCGTCATCGACACGACATGAAACATAAGATCTTAACAGATACATTGCCATATAGTCCTTTAACCCTACAATGACAAGTCAGAACCTGAACCCTTCAAAATCAATGTGTGCTTTTATGTGATTTGTCTCTTAACTCATACAACCTCAAATACTTTTGGAGTAAATCTGAAACCAAGTATCTATTGTAATCAAATTCCTGCGCTACGCATATGAACCTCTATTACGATCAAGCAATTGCATCGCTATAAAGTATGGTAGACAGACTTCGAAAATTAAATTCCATTTTTGTTCACCACTACTTCTGACAGGGGCACACAAGCATCTCCTAATTTTCATTACAAACTGAAGTCATACTTTTTTTAAACAAACTAGTAATATAGATAAAAAAGGTCGATGCATAATAAGCCTGATGCAAATTGGCTTATATCATTTTCAGTTTGCAGCTTTAACTATTATGTAATAATGTGCTGATAATTATTTATGTTTTCGCAAAAAAAAAGTATGAGTACCATTTCCATCCCTTGATCATCAAATTGTTCCATTTCTAATAAATTTCGAATTAATTTTGGGACCGATCCATGCGCTCGCGGGTGTCACCTGTGCAGAAGACGGTAAAACCTTTTGGCTCAATAGTTATATGTTCTTTTATGTTTATAATAATTGTGACTGACAGCATGCGAATTTTTCACAGTGATAATAATCTGGTATAAGCTTATAATTAGCATTTCTCGTAATTGGCTTTCTAGATTTTTCAAAATTTTTTTCCATTTTCTTTTTAAGAAATTACAGTACCATTTGGCAAAACTGTTAACAAAAATCATAATTTCTAAAACTATTTGAGTATACATGTTTATACATATGTTTCATAATAATTGAAGTTACAGGAAGTTCAGTTTAGCCAATTGATTCTAAATAATTGGGAATTTCAAAATTAATAAATACTTTCGTAATCAACTTGTTTCTTCTAAATTGTGTACCTATCGAGGATGAAGTGACAAAACCTCTTGACTAAAAATGTAGGTGTTCTCAGTTTTTTACTCAATACCAGTTTAAACTCGATAATTTCAAAGATTGATAAAAGTAAAACAAAAAAATTCAAAATTTTTCATCACTTTCTTAACCCAGATAACATTTTTCAGTTCGTGTACAATCGTGTTTTTTACACATCAGCATGCTCTTGTCACTTCATAGTCGATATTTTAAATGTTTAGAAGTAATTGTATTAATATTTTAATTACATAATTATGTTTTGTAGAAAATTTAGTAATTGGAATTTCTCGTATAACACTCATACGTTCATAACTCCCAGGCAGATTATTTTTGTTATTTATTATATGTATATTATTTATCTACCTATATAATTTATAGCTTAGCAAAAATAAATTCATTTTATATCTCATTTTAGAATTACGTATATTCCCTTAACTTAGCATTTGTTATCCTATAAATTAAAAAAAACAATTAAACACATATTTGAAAGATATGGGTATTGTACGAGATGCCAGTAGAGGGCACGCGCCTACAGGTCTCGTGGGTAGAAGTAGAGCGCGTCGTGACTTGTGTGTTGTTACAGTCAGGGCCCACACTGCCAAGGACGGCTTGCACAGCGAGGAAATGAGGAAACTCATTGACAGGTCAGTTCAGCCAGGCCTAACCCCATTTCACTGCCACTGTTTGTTTGAATCACCTCACAATAGGCAAATATGGCGATAAATCGAATTTGTCCTCATGTAAAAGTATAAAAAAGACGGCAACAAAAATTGCATTAACACATTATAGACAGCAAATTTAATGCACGATTCTTCTATTCAAATAGCTGCAGCTGCGTAGGTCTTTTTTCAATAAGTTAATTGTAAATATGAATAATATTTTGTCTAACTACTTACTAAAATAATATCAATACGACTTACTGATAGAGAAACCTAGCCGATTCCTTGCGTGTGCGCAACACACGCGTACTAGCCATGCCATAGAATTCTAACGCATCGTGACTAAGCATGTATTATGTTCTGCATCCGACTTCTACAGGAAACAGTAAGTCAAAGTATGTGAACCGGTAATTTATGAATGTAATTTTGCCTGATGTTTGTTTTAACCTTATGTGGCTAACACTTATTCCGTTTTGCACTAAGATTATTTATTTAGCTGGATATATCTAGGTAAGTAGTTGGCCGACTCATGACAGACCGACGGCTATTTTTGAATTTAATTTGAAATATTTCTTTTAGTAACTTTTCTTTGGCAATGGAAAGGGCACGATTACCTTTTAGTTTCGCTCAGATTCATGTTGACCATGTTCATTAATATTAATTTAGTTCCCTTGCACTACGAAACACGAGCCCTATAGTGTATATACAAAAACAAAGCTACTTGTGTCCCTATTTTTATTCCTAATAAGGTACAGGAGGCAAATAAGGCCCACCTTTATTTAAAATAAAACATTTTTACACACAACGAGGCTTTCGAGAAAAACTCGTTAAATATAGAAAAGCCTTGTTAATTTAAGTATTTTCACAAATACATAAATTTAAAGAAATGTGACGAAACAATTGAAACATTCAATATTTATAAAAGTTCAGTTTTGGACCTTATTAAACAGTATTGGGATATTAAAGCCCGCAAAAAGAATAAACTTTCTGAGATAAATAACAGCTTTAAAAGTTTTCAACTTTGCACACATACAAAAATGACGTTCAGTATCTTCACATCAGCAGAATATACTTATTTTTAGAAAAATACGGCCTTGAGCCTTATAAAATTAAAGATGTGAAAAATTGTCTATTTTACTGGAAAATATGAAGCTAAAAACAAAATAAAACGTTCTTCGGTTACAGCTGTATCAACATGAAGTTCGTCTAAAAAATAAATTAAATTGTTCATTTTTACTGCTGCAACCAAATTATCCTCAGGGTCCAGCTTTTTCTTGACTGTTGAAGACTACAAAAAGTAAATAATGAAATGAACTATTTAATGGTAATAAACTCTTTCATGGTATGAATTTCTAAATAGCTTTATAAATTATTGTTTTTTTTAAGGTTTTAATAACCATACCATAATATATCATACTTAAAATAAGGGCCTTATTGCTATAATACAATTTTCAGAAATAACAAACATATGTAATGTAATTAATGTAAAACATGTAAGACATATAATTATATTCTTACGTTTCCGTTATAGATCGATATTTTCTGATCACATCAACCTAAGTAAATTTCAGAAGAAACAGTAAAACTTGCTGAAAACTGTGATTATTTATGACAAACAAAATAATACGCAACGCAGCCGCAACAACGTAACGTTTTTGGACACTACAGACCAAATGGCAGCAATCGCTGAAACTACTTGCCAGCTGGTTGCATATTACTATTTATGCGTGACCCGTTGTACGAATTAAAATATTAAAATATTTTTTAATTCTGGGCCTTATTTCCGGCTGGGCCTTAAATGTCTCACCTACCTTAGATCACATTTCTACATCCATTTTAACATACAAAAGCCCATTTCATTGTTTTTTTTTACTATAAATAGGACGGTGGTTAAATATTTTGTGTGACATTTCAGACCAGAAGCAAGCACCCCAATCCCCCAGCAAGCAGTCCACGGGCGGGGACTCACAGCCTACGATACTGTGGCAGTGTAACTTGTAAACTGCAGACGCGAACACCAACACAGATTTCTCATTTCCCATCAACCATTGCCATTTTGCTTTGGCGATGTCACTCGCTTCTTCTATTATACTTTCTAAGTAGTTTCAGTAATTTCTGTATTCCATATAAGCTTCAGGACAGCAGTATTGTGCTCAGTGTACTCGTGCCAAATCTACATTATTTTTACCAAATTTTTCATTGTGTATCGCGTTTCTGTGTAACGTTTATTTTTAAATTTACCCCAACTTAGTTGGCTGGATCATTTTAGGTAACAATGACGCGCACATGTGTGCCATTAATAAATGTTAGTCCTCGTTTTGGGCTCAATTTGCTCGAAGACGATATGCTGAGTTGGAAGATTATATATATAGCATCTACCCTTCCTACGTAGAAATATAAAGCACGCCACTTTAGTTACCAAATAAAAAAAAACAGAAAATCATGGTTGTGGTAGTTATTTGAAATTGATATTTTGCTTAATAGAGTTGGCGTGTGCGTAAACCTACCCAAGTGATGCATATTAATCCTACCCGCCCAACTCGGCACGTCGCTGCGAACGTCTAATGTATTAACAGTACATTAAAATTAACTTTATTTTGGTTTATTTGTTTAGCTTAATTTAAACAAAGGTTCTAGAGCAGCTGGCTTTGGGGTGTGGCGAGTATCGATTTAAATTAAGCTCAACATGTAATATTGTGATATTTTGTATTTTTTATCCCATTTTAATTTTTATACTAACATAAACGTTATTTATATTTGTGTACTCGTAGGAATTAGATAAAATGCAACCACTGGGTTGTTTCGATGCTTCCTTTAATGTTATTACGGTTTTTGTAATGCTTTTTACCATTTGCGTTATTGCCAAGTCCTAATTTGTGTTATTGTACGATGTTTTTATTTCGCATTTAAGCAACACTATTTAGAATTAAGGATAGTCGTATACTCGTAAGCTTCTTTATTAGCAAATAATCAACTTTTAAACAAAGTACTCTATATAACCTGTAGCTAGTTAGTAACGTATGTGTTACTCAATATTTAAAATTAAAGGTAACCAACATTAGGTACATTAATCTACGTTATATACTGGACCGAATCTAAAAAACATAATAGTCAACAGTTACCCGATGAAATAACAGGAATCATACACGTCTTTAAATCATCACAAATAAAAATAAACGAGAATATTGACATGGAATTTAAAGCTTTTTAATATTACTCTAGTATGATAAGATTTTTATTAATAGTAATTTTATCTTTCTATATGATACGCAAATGATTAGAGATAAGACACACGAGTGTCATTTTTTAGATGTTTCCCTTATATGTTGTGCATCGTCGTGTAAGCTTCGCAAGGTAGGCTTGTAGTTAGGTTCTCGCGACTTCCTAGAAACTGATATCTTCTCGTAACCTTCCACTTAGAAAATTGAATTAATGAAATATAAGTAATTAAAATTAAAGTGAATCAAATTGAATAAGAACTTTTGACGACAATATAGATACATTCTTCAAAAAGTGGAAATTTATACATATGGCTAATTTTATTTGGAGTATTTTGAACCAGTCTCATTTGTATTGAGATTTCTTATGTGTCTTTTTGGCTTTTCTGTCTTCGTACGTTTGGTTAGCGCTGGTTTTGTACATGGATAAGTTTAATTCCGGGACTTTAACCGCAGCGAATTGTTTGTACCAAAGTGTTTCATTTGTTTTGAATAAAGTACTCAAATATCAACTATAATAATAATAAATGTTGTTTCATTTCATTAACCCCGTTTTATCTAAAATCGAAGAATTGTCTACAATACACAGTAGCGAACTACATTACATAGAGGTTGTTAAAAATACTATATGTTTTAAGCTCGCTCCATAAAAAAAATTAAAAAAACAGTCATAATTGACAAACAGCAAAGATTAATAGCACACTAGACTCCGTTTATTTATTTATACAATCACAGTACAGAGTACTAAAAAATCGACCTCGAAAGTCATTCATCTCCGAGTTTGCCGTGACCGTCAGGATGACTGGTCGCCTGTCGCATCTGGCACTGAGTGTATATTCAAGAATTGCTACCTATTTGCTACCTTTTCTAAATAATTGCTACCTTTGATATTCTGAGAAATCAAAAAAAAATAATTGACCAGCCATTCTGACGTCAGAATGAAACTTTTTTCAAATGGTTTCTGTGATTTTTTTTTTTCAAATTTGAAACATTTGAATATCGACTTTCAATTGTTTTTGTTATTCAATTTAGACAAGAAAGATGGATACTGCGAAAATTCGAGTGATTTTTGAATACGAGTTCCGACGCGGAACTAACGCGGCAGAAACAGCCCGCAATATCAATGCTGCGTTTGGAGAGGGGTCTACTAATGAACGCACCGTGCGATTTTGGTTTAAACGCTTTCGTGATGGAAATTTCGACTTAAAGAACGAGCCACGAGGAAGACCGCCCACACAGGTGAATAACGATGAATTAAGAGAGATAGTGGAAGCCGATCCTAGTCAAACTACCCAGGAATTAGCGGCATGGTTTAACGTTACCTTACCCACAATATTGACTCACTTGCGTCAAATCAAAAAAATAAAAAAATACGAAAAATGGGTGCCTCATGATTTGACTGATCTGCAGAAAGAAACGCGTGTTGAAACTTGTGTTGCCTTGTTGAACCGGTACAGAAATGAAGGAATATTGGATCGAATTGTAACATGTGATGAAAAGTGGATTCTTTATGATAACCGGAAAAGAAAAATGCAATGGCTGACCCCAGGTCAAATGCCACAACAGTGTCCTAAAGCAAAACTTACCAATAAAAAGGTAATGGTAACTGTTTGGTGGTCTCAGCATGGTGTTATTCACTATAGTTTTCTCCGATCTGGTCAAGCAATAACGGCAGATGTCTATTGTGCCGAACTCCGAACCATGTTGACAAAACTAGCAGTAAAACAGCCCCGACTCATGAATCGATCTTCACCATTATTGCTCCACGACAACGCGAGACCTCACACAGCACGAGAAACCATTTTGACCCTTCAGGAACTGCAGTTAGAAACCATTCGTCATCCTCCGTATTCACCAGATCTTGCTCCAACGGACTACCATTTTTTTCGTGATTTGGACAATTATCTACGTGACAAGAAGTTTTCTTCCCAGGAGGCAGTACTAAATGCTTTCACACAGTTTGTGCAGTCTAGATCGTCGGAGTTCTATCGCAAAGGAGTTAATAACCTTCCCATTAGATGGCAGCAATGTATAGATAATAATGGCAACTATTTTGATTAAATAAATTTGTTAAAAATTTAAAAAATAAACAATTTAGATTTTCAGTACAAATCGGCAATTTCACACTTTAACCCCTATTATTAGTAAATAAATATGGCTGTTTACAAATATAACAGAAAATGACAAAAACTAAAGTTAGCGTGGTGTTCATTGGAGGTATCGATACTTAAAAAAACGCCTTAACTTATAAATAAATAGTCAATAATAGAATTCTCTACGGAGATGGTATTTTATTACTCATAGAAGTTTATAATAATTAAATAGTTTTATGGACTAACGATTGGTGGAATTAAGAAGCGGCCTTCACGATCTCTTCTGCAACCTCCACTGCAATCCCGGCCTCTGCCTTAGCCTGGAATATCAACAACATTTATAACAGCAATCTCATTAGAGGAGAGTCCTGTCCAACAGTGGAAAATATACCAGGTCATACAGTACAACAGCCATAACATCAGTCTCTCCCTACTAATTTCTCAAACTTAAAAGGCAAGAGCGTACACTAACTGCCGCCCTAACGGATCATAGTTCATATGACAAATACCTCTTCAATTTAGTTATCACGGACAGCCGTCAGCAGAGCGTACTTGGATGAGGAGAAAAGGGCCACGTATATCCTATTACAATGCTCCGGCGTGGTCGACTACAGGACAAAATACCTTGGAGCGCCAAGGTCGCTCTCCGAACTATTTAGCTTTAGAGTTAGTCACGTACAAAGTATCGGGATGCTCATCGTCTGGATCTATAACAACCATTCATGTGTTTTTTCTGTGTCTATATCCTAGTGACTGTGTATTCACATACCAGTTATTTGTTATAAAGATAGACAGAAGACACAATATGAATTCATTAATAAATGAGACAAGCCACATAGTCATGGGACTAGATGAAGGGTCGTATTCTAGAACTCTACTCAATGCTCAAGTCAGGGTTTGAGTATGGTTTAAAGCACTCGAAATCATACTCAAGTACCTGCCATTAGGGTCGTATTTCCTGTGTTTGTGGTTCCATTGCAATCCTGTCTTGAGCATTGAGTAGACTTCTAGAATACGACTCTTAATCGTGGTCATCAAGTATATAACTAGAAATAGAGACGAAATAAGGGCCATCCATCCCTGGCCACTCATCAGGCTAAATATCAACTCTCGTTTGCGCTGAAATCACAAATTAGAAAGCTGAAATAGTACAGCGCCAACAACATGTACGTGTGCACGTCTCCGTATATTTCAAAAATATTCTATATTTATTGTAATAAAGATAATATCTCTCCGCTTTCCATCAGGCGGGCCGCATGCTTGTTTGCTGCCTAAATAATATAAAATAAAAAAAACAGTGGGAGGCTGTTCCATTTAGAGGTTTGGGAAAAACAGCTAAACATTTAATTACGAAACAAACTGAATCACATTTCATTAGTAATTAAGTATGCAATTTTTCCATTTTGGTCCATTATAGGTAAACTATAATATAATAATAATAATAACGCTCACAATCAACATAGCCCCGCACTAGGGAAACCCTGTGTCGCGGGTGCCATGGACACACACATAGACAACCACAAATTACACCCAAACTCATGAGAGAAATAAATGTAGGCCATACAAATATTTCTCCCGGCCCGGGAATCGAACCTGGGACCTCTGCGTGGCAGTCCGGCATGGTAACCGTTCGGCCACAGAGGCAGTTAATCTGTTAAAACTCAAGGTAAACTGGTCGATTTAAAGTGAAACAATTGACGACACACGTGAATTGTTTCGAATTCGGGCTGGCCAATCGGAGGCGCAGTTGTCACCGTAATGATTTGGCAGAATAATTTTCAAACAAATTAAACGACATTTCGTCTCTATTCCTGGTTATATACTCGATGATCATGGTTGATGACGATAAGCATCAAGTCTCATTTGAGCTGTATTGTGTATTTATTTAAATACATACCCTATCATTATTAGCTGAGTTTAATTCTTGTTGTGCCTTGGTAAGGGCCTCTTGTGCTGCTCCACGGTCCAAGCTTTCCAGGGGATGCGCTTCTTCAGCTAGCACCTTCAAATGTCAACAACCAATTTACATATTTATTAAATAAACTTTAAATATTATACATAATATTACACATTGCTTTATATATCGCACTGCTAATACAATAGTGTATTAACTCAAAATGTGAATTTATGCAGTATAGCTGAAAAACTAATTAGTCAGTTCCCGTGAAAGATTATTATAATTTATGTATAGGTTAAAATTTATTAGACATCTGAACAATTTCCTACTTGCCAAATAGAAATATATTTAAAAATAAATGAAAAATAATTTCATATTTTTGAGTAAGGACTGTTTTGTCTTGAACTAGCTCACAAAACGTGTGTTCTGAGTTGAATATTTTAATTGTTTCTTACAATATTCTAATGACAATTTTATTGACATGTAGATA